AGAATTTACTTTGGTCATGGCTAGTACAGAGCGCTGGCGAAGTGACCAGCTCTAGAAGTAAAGGGAGGGGACGGCGAGGCAAAATTCACCGCCCCTCCGCGACTATGTACAAAGTGACGAGTGACGAGTGTGTGTGTGTGTCAGTGATTCGTCTGTGGTCTCGTTTTTTTCTTTTTCTTTTAGGTCTTTGGGGGTCTTTTGGGGGTCTTTTTGGGTCATGCAGGTGTCCCTTTGTGTGTGAATGAGTGTCTCTCAGTTTGTTTGGTCATATGTTTGTATGTTTGTTTGTGTGTGTGTGTGTGTGTGTGTGTGTGTGTGTGTGTGTGTGTGTGTGTGTGTGTGTGTGTGTGTGTGTGTGTGTGTGTGCAAGCGTGCGTGTGCGTTCGTGCGCTGGTGTTTACTTTACCGTAAATTTGACGCCGAGTATGTATATGTGCGTGAGTTTGTTTACATGCTGGGTGTATGTTTATTCGTGCATTTCCGTGTGTTTGTTTTTGGAATATGTTGGTCCAAGAGGTCCATCTGGCGGAGATATGAGCACGAGGGGGAGAGGAAAGGGGAGGGAGGCCAGAGGGAGATGATGGAGGAGTGGGCAAGTGAGGTGATGAAAAAGGAAGACTGATGAGATAATATATGGAGAGATGAGATGGTAAGGAGAGGAGGAATGCTGGGAAAGTGCGATGATGGAGAAGAGATGGGGGAGAGAGTAGGGGAAGGAGGGGTTAAAGGAGATGAGGACTGGGAACGAGAGAAGCTGGAGGAGAAAAGGGGAGAGGGGAAGGAGAGAGGGAATACTGGAGAAGTGGATGGCTGAGATGGCAAAAGGAAAAGGATAAGAAAACGAAATGAGAAAAGAGAAGAGAAAATGAAGGAAGAAGTGTGGAGAGGGAGGATGAGGAAAGAGGGGCAGAGAAGGAGGAAAGAAGAGAAAAAGATGAGGGAAGAAGGGAAGAGGAGGAGGAGAGAGGGGAAGAGGACAAAGAAAAGCGGGGAAGAGTAAGAAGAATGAGAATGAGAGGAAGAAGAGCAGGAGAAAGATAGAAGGAGAGCAAGATTATCAGGTAAATGGGAGAGCTGTTGGTTAAGTCAGTTCATCCGCTAACTCACCGAACTCCGACATATTCAGAGCAATGAGTGCAATGAGACGGAGATAATGTTGCACCGGAATGATGGAGTTTGGTAGCGTGATGCGGAATGAGATTCAGGAATAATATGGACAATGTAGAATGACAGAATAGTTATAGGTAAAGATAAGTTAAAAGCTCATGACTAAGATGAAGAATGGAACACAAGAAAAAGTGAGATAGGAAAAAACAATGAGTAAGGGAAAGTGATAAAGAAAAGAAGAAACGTGCGAGAGAGAGAGAGAGAGAGAGAGAGAGAGAGAGAGAGAGAGAGAGAGAGAGAGAGAGAGAGAGATCTGGAAGTTCTGAAACAACGGTAAGCGAGGGAAAATAATACAAACAAAGGAGTGTGACAGAGTGTGATGTAAGGTAACGAAGATTGATAAAACAAGTGAAAGCGAAAGAGGGTGAATGGGGATACAAGTGATAGAAGAAGGAGAGTGATGAGAGACAAGAATGAGTAAGGGGCGGGGAAAGAAAGTGACAGACGAGAATGAATAAGACGTGAATAATGAAATCGAAGGATAATGGATTAGGAGGAGGGAGAATCACACACGGATACTCCATCCTATTTTGGTATGTGTCAGATGTCGATAAGCGTTAGTTGCTGTCGGTGATATTTGTCATGTGAGAGCCCTATCGAATGACACTCTATAGGTATCACGTCAAGCGGAATGACTCGAGTTCGCTCTTGGCACCAGACACCGAACACCTCGCGAGTGTCAGGGCATCTGGCACCGCAGGGAATGGAGTGGCCACCTGCCGTGACGCCATAACGTTGCCAGTTGGCTGTCTGTGGTGAAAGCATGTCGTTATCTTGCTATTGATTGTGTCTGGTTTCTTAATCCGTCTGTTGTGTGAAAGCGCTTGTTTGCGTCGTTCTGTTCTTGTACAACTCATCATCATCATCATTTCATCATCACCAATCATCATCATCGTCAACAAAACTACCCGAAGACGAGGTAGTTAGCGTAGTGTGGGCAATGGTGCGGGTGTTCTACGTCACCCTTGTTATCAAACTTTGTGCACATGATCATAAAGTAAACAATAGTGTACAAAACTGGACATGCAGTATTTACTTCCGGGTCTAGATAATAGATAGCAATAGATCACCGAGCCGACCACCAGGAGGGCCCTCGAGTGGTAATCTACCCTAGCTTGCGGTATATCTACGATATACCCTGCAAGTATATCCTTCGGTTCTATCATCAGCCTCGAATCTCTCTCTAAGTTATCTATGGTACATACATTATGAATCACTCATTGGTCGATCACAAGACAGGTTGACTAATCTCTTTAACTAGCAGTGGGGCGCTCTCTAGGGCCCCAGAGAACACTCTAGTTCCCAAAAGTATATTCCAGAGTACTCGCTTGTACCTCAGCTACCTTTGGTACACTCGAGCTTCTAGGAGTATACATCAGGCGCATAGAGTTCGCGAGCCAAGGTGCACACTAGCTTCCCGAAGAATATGCTGTCCCCCTCGAGTCTCAAGAGTGCACCCTTGAGTTTCGAAGTACACCCTAGGTCCTAGTAGCAGAGCCCAGGGTACACAGCGAGTCTCAGAGGAGCATCCTTAAGTGTCACGAGGCCTCAGAGGACACCATTCGGGATCCGGGAAGGCTAGCGGCGGGCGAGACAACCTAGGTTCCTAGAGGCGCCGAAGAAGCTCTAAGACAGCACCTTCCTACGTGATTTAAGGGGCCGACCTCCCCGCCTTAACAGAAATGCTTTTAAGTTTTATAACACTAAGAGAAATGGGGCTTAGCATCTGTATGTCTAGACACGTTCCAAGTGCTCATTACATACGGATTTCTAGAATATACACTAGGTTCAATCTATTGTCTAGACCGGTGTATCAATCCATTTTGCTTCATGAAGTTAACATGCTGCCATGCTGCCTTAGTCACATAAGCTAGTAACACAGCCAATCAGACTTAGCGCTCATTAATTCGGAACAAAACTCGAGAAATATTAAAGGTATTTACAAAATAGGCCCCCTCAGAAATATTACAAATAAAAAGTAAAAAAAAAAAAAAAAAAAAAAATGCGGAGCTTCCTTAAAAAGGGCTCAGGAGCTCAAAAATGTTTTTTTTTCTTTTAAAAATGAGTTATCAACTCTATTTAGATCTGGGTTCAAAAACTTTATTATAAAAAATATCTAAGTCTGGTTTATCATCGAATTTCTTAGCTTCCTTTCTCGTCGTTAAACGGATGTCCAGGCAGGTTAACTTCATGTCAAAATTACTGGGGCAAAATTCCCGTCCAGATGGCTCCCAGCAGTGGATAATCCCAAGGCATAAACCATCATTAAATCCAACTAAGGTGTTTTTAGGTCCTTATGCCAACTGCTGGCCTACTGATCAACGCCTCTACCATTCACAAAAAGAGAAGTGTCTTGATCGCAGCCTTGTACTGGGTATTAAAGGTAATTCATTCACAGCAGAGCAATCAGAAGCGACGGTGGAATGGAAGATCCATCTATCAAATCAAGGTTGGAATACGTGAAGCAAAGTAGTAATAAGACTGGTAAATGTATGTATATAGATATATATGTATATATATATATATCAACTGAAATCACTCAGAGGCAACCATTACAGCGTAAGTAAGACAAGTTGGGTGGGTTCTGGAGAGCAAGACTCGGTAACTAAGAGCGCGGGAGAGGCCTGCATGGCAATACGTGGTGGGGAGTGACGCGGAGTGATCAGTAAGAGCAAGTGACAATCAGGGCGGGGATGGTGTAAAGAGAATAAAAAAAATAATCAAATTAGTATAAACGAGTCAGTCGGATGCTACAAGGTGCTGCCTCCTGGGTACAGTAGAAGTAAGTAGAGTAGATTGTCTGCCGCTACAGCGGAGTTGCACTGGTTGGTTGGGTGGTGGGAAGTGGAAGGATGGAAGTATACAGAGCGACGGCAGCGCCACCATGTAGGAAGGATCCATACGCCTCCATACTTCCATCCTCCACGGTATGTACATGTTTTGCCTGACCTGTAGTTGCAATCTTGCAAGACCAATGGGAGGTCCCCTCTAAAACGTTATCTTCTGCTTTCTCAAGTGAATCTATATGGGTATCTGGATCCACCTTGAAAGTCATCCTGTGGAAGAAGCACATTCAACATCGGTTAACACAACGATCACAGAAACATCACTAAGCATACGTAACTCAACATAAAGACACAACACCGATAATGTCAAGCCTCCGTCGCTTTTCTCTCCGTCTCTCGCCGTCTCCGTCGGGTGTGGGGCGCCTGCGAACCCGCGCACGACAACTCCTGCCCCGAAGCCTTTTTAAAGTAAACAAGAGCAAGTGCTTTTAATAATCGTTTAGATCTCGCGAGATTCCGGAGCGGGACAAGAGAACGTGCTCTTCTCCCTCCGAGCGAGCGCAGCGGGCTTCGGGGGCCAGTTCTCGTGGGCGGAACAGAAAACGTCTATCTTATGAAGACAAAGTGGGAACCGACTCGTCCCGCGGGTTACATGGTGGAGGTTCATTTAACCGTGTTACCTTCTGGGCAGTAATCCTGCGCCTGCTACAGCCTGATACAATTTTCATTTATTTAGGACAGCTGGGTCCGCAAAAGGTCACGCCTTACTTTTTATTCATACGAAGGTTGAAGGTAGCAAGGGCCAGCGCGACGGAACATAAAGCGGAAGTAACACGTGCCAGAACGCCACTTTGTCTTCACAGTCACGTGGTCGACGTCACCACGCGAGGCAGACGAGACAACACGTAACACAATGACAGGGAGAAACAGGCAGTGAAAGAAGGCCGTCGAGAACAGCAAAAGAACCAAAATGTGGAGAGAAAGAAAAAAGTGAAACAAGAAAAACAACAGCCATAGAGATGCGAAGATGGAAAGACCGAGGGAATG